CCAGGCCAGTCTCTAGCACTGCGGTGCCCAGCACGTGCCAGGCCAGTCTCTAGCACTGCGGTGCCCAGCACGTGCCAGGCCAGTCTCTAGCACTGTCCAAAACAAAGGCAACAAGCATAACTGATACAAGTGGGTGGAGCACTCTTCACAGACATCCTGAGATGAAGCCTGTGTTAGCTCCCACCCTACACAACTGGCAGTTTCAGGAGGACATGATGAGTGTCAGACAACAATTTTGCAATATGTTGATACAATGTTTCAGAATAGTTGGTCTTCTCTAATCAGGAAGAGATTTCAGTGATCAGGTGGTCTGACCAAGTTGAAACGAATGGTACTCTTTAGGAATGGTAGGTGTAAGAACTCTAGCTTTAAGGCTAACACCAACTCTGATCACACCTATAGTGAAATGTTTACCTTTATAATAAACTCCTTCTCACAGAATTCTTGAAGAATTCCTAAGCAAATGTTGCACACACTCAGATTTGAAGGCTCAGAGGCAATGCTTTCCTCTTCTGGGGCAGAGATCCCCTCCTCTCCATTTCCACTCAAATTATCCATTCCGTCTTCTTGAAGACGAATTTTCTTCAATGGTGGGTTTGGAACTTCCACAATTAATTCATCTTTTTCAGTTTCTAGAAATTTCTGTAGATCATTGAACAACTCCTGAAAAGTTATGAAAAAACAGTACATTTTAAAGTGGCTTTGAGGTTCCTAAGATGACAAGGTTCCTAAGTCAGCCAGATGTGGCAACATGTGTCTTTTTTTTTCTTTTTAATTAGTAGTTCAATGACCTTCCCAAAAGAACTACAAGACAGATGTGTAAATTTGTTGATGGAGCCTTTCTACTTAACATTACCGTTTTAGCTTCACTGGTTTGTGAAATTCTTTTGGAAAAACATACACATTTAAAATAGGCACTTGATTAGTGTGTGGATTAAGTGCATTAATAATAAATTCAGTCATCAGTCACGTATGAATGCCACACAAGAGGTCTGCCTACCTCTGAGCACTGAGATTAAAGGTGTGTACTGTTCCAAATGCAATGCCTGTCCTGGGTCCCAGGCCTCTGGTCCCACTAGAGCACTCAGAGGGAGAGGCAGTGGACCTTGTCAGTTCAAGCACCTAGGGCTACAGTGAGGCACTGTTTCAAAACAAGGTGTCGAGAAGATTATAAGAGCATGGACTCATACAACGCTGGTTTATATCAATTCGGGAGTAACCATTTACTACAGCACTGGATTTCTAGGAAATCTGAGACCAACTTGTGCATTGTAATAGAAATATCTCTTACATACCAAGAGACTGGAACTCTTGCTGAAACTCAGTCAGTTAACAGTGCACCTTGAAGTCACTTCAGACTGCTGTCCTGCTGCGTGTCCAACCTGTCTGTTTAACCTGCCTTTAAGGGGACAACTAACAACCAAGCTTACTTGCCTGGCTTTCCCATGTAATCCTTTGTAACCTAAGCTAACACATAGCTATCATCTTCAATTATGCACTCTCCCATACCCTCGGCCCAAGAGTAATGCACATGTGTCTGCATGTATATTATGATAATCATTTGCCAGAAACAGCAAATGAGCTAAAGCAGCCTTATAAAATGAATATCCACCATAAATGCTGAAAGCAGCTGCATAGTCAGCTGCTGACTGACAGGGTTTGCTACCTGGGTCAGCTGGAGTCAGAACTAACTCCTTGTAAAACTGTTCAATAGTTCTGTAAAGCATGCCTCATTCCTTCTCCATGTGATGATTTCTATGCTGTTCAATAAAAGAAATAGTTAGAGAGATGGTTCAGTGGTTAAGAACGTGTATTGTTCTTCGAGAGAACCTCTTCAGGTGGCTCACAACTGTGTAACTCCAGCCCCAGGGATCCAATGCAGGCACCCACACATGTGACATACACTCACAGACACACACCATTAAAAATAAAATTTAAAAATATATTAAAAAATAAAAGGGGTTGGGGATTTAGCTCAGTGGTAGAGCACTTGCTTAGCAAGCGCAAGGCCCTGGGTTCAGTCCTCAGCTCTGAAAAAAAAAAAAAGAGAGAGAGAGAGAACAAAGTCCTTTGTTGGGAGCAGACACACAAGGACAGACAGATATAGGGATAAATTTACAAGACAGCCTTTGGGCAGGCACAGTTCAGACTCACACACCAGAGGCAGAGAATGACAGACACAGGAGAACAAGGTAGAGAGTTCAAATCTGGGCTCCCTCAGGGTTAAATGATGCCAAGGACAAGTGCTTTGATTTCTGTCCTTAATGCGACATCGAAGAATTTATTATTAATGCATTTAATCCACACACTAAGCAAATGGCTATTATATATGTGAATATTTTTCCAAATGCATTTCACAAATCAGTGAAACTAAAACCTTAATCTTAAGTAGAAAGGCTCCATCAACAAATTTACAAATCTGGCTTATATTTCTATTCGGAAGGTCATTCAACTACCAATTTAAAAATAAATTCAATTCTAATTACTAAAACATAAAAAACATAAACTGGGGCTGGGCAGTGGTGACCCACACCTTTAATCCTAGCACTTGGGAGGCAGAGGCAGGCGGATCTCTAAGTTTGAGGCCAGCCTGGTCTATAGAGTGAGTTCCAAGACAGCCAGGACCGTTAGTTTTATATATAGAAACCCTGTCTCAAAAACAAAACAATATGTGTTTGTGTGTGTGTGTGTGTGTGTGTGTGTGTGTGTGTGTGTATGATGGAGATGTAGTTCAGTGGTAGAATACCTGCTTAGCATGCATGAAGCCCTGGGTTCCACCTCCAACAGCAAAGAACAGAGACAGACAGACACATACTCACACACAGGAAAGTACAAGCTGCTTTTTATCCTTGCTAAGTTATTTAAGACTTCACAGCACAGTGTTAATGTGAAATCTCATCATTTACAGGTTGAGCAAGTGGATTAGGCAGTGTTAACATCTGGCGCCTTGATTACAGTCCATTTATAGCACTAAGTGAAAGAAGCCCTCTTCTACATTTCTGTCTCATTTCTGTCATCCCCTCCAAATGTAAAAACAAGCCTCCCCTTAAGAACGCTCCAGTTCTTCTGCCACCCCCTCCAAATGCTCAGCTTCCCTGTGGTTCTTCCATATCAGCTCAGTTGTCGGACAACCATTTGAATTCAGTTAGTCTATACTAAAGAATATTTTTCATTCACCGGGCGGTGGTGGCGCACACCTTTAATCCCAGCACTCGGGAGGCAGAGGCAGGCGGATCTCTGTGAGTTTGAGAGACAGAAAGGCGCAAAGCTACACAGAGAAACCCTGTCTCGAAAAACCAAAAAAAAAAAAAAAAGAATATTTTTCATTCAAACATTACATTTGTTTTGTTGATGCATTAGCACTCCAATTTTCACAAAAAATTCACACCTATACACACATATTCATGTATATTACGGCCCACACAAATGTCGATTGCTACCTAATAACTGTAACATGAGTATAACATAGTATGTACATGTATGTCCTCATGTACTGCTTATATGACTAGAACAAAACAAAGCTTAAACTATTTCAAAAAAGCCTTCGAATATTTTGTTTATATTTATTCACAAAGAACATTACAGTCAAAGTTGCTGACAGCCTCTCTCTATAAAATGTATTTGAATCCAGTATATATATATCTAGTGTGACGTGTGGAAAAGTATGTAAGGAAGACTACACAGAGCCGGCTGTAAGCTGAGCATTCACACACAGCAACTGTCACGGCATATGTGCCACTTCTGGTTTCCAAGTGCTTTCACATACTCAATAGATCATGTCCTTAAAATCCTGGGAGGCAGAGAGGGTCACCACTCCCATGGACAGAGGAGTAACTGAAGGTGTACAGTGGCGGAACTGAGGTTCAAATGCACGTCTTCTAGCTCCGAATCCTAGGCTTTGGATTCAGACACACTGCTCAACTCCTAGCTTGCTCATTTAATAGCTGTTTAACTTTGGGCAGGCTGCTTAACCTCTCTGTGTTTCAGTCGCTTCATCTGAAAATAGAGATAATCATTGCATGTACTTACAAAATAGTAAATGAAAGTTTAACATGTAGTAACACTAGACGAACACTAGGAACTATTATTATGTCTAACAGTAGAAACAACACAATCATATAGAAAAACAATAGCGATTACTACATAAAGTAGCAATTTTTAAAATAAACTGAGAATGTGTGCATGAATGTATATATTTTACACATGTATACAATTATCTGCCTTTGGAAAAAAAGTCACTGTTAGTATCAACCGTATGTCACAGGCATATTCTGTATTTTATGTGAAGATATTATACTCAATGACAGCTCTCTATGTATTACTGTAAATGTGAAAATTTCTGAAAGTTTCTTGTGTTACGCTAAGCACTTACTTTTAAAGGCTTCCTGTCATAGCCAGGTATCACACAATGCTCCCGACAATACAGACTGCCTGGTAACGCTGCATCTTAATTTAAGTACACTCCGTGAGGTTCCCACAAGCACAAAGCCATCGAAGGGCACACTTCTCAGAACATATCCCCTTCACTGAGTGAAACAGGTAGTAGGCTGGGAACATGGACCAGTGCCAGGATTCACTGGCACACGTGAAGCCCTGGGTTCAATGCCCAGCACAGAAGAATACATATGTACATACAGATGGTAACACACAAGGGAATAACCAGGGCAAGCAGCATGGCCCGTGGGGTAAAAGCACTTGGCACACAAGCCTGCTTGACTTCCAGGGTCCATGGTGGAAGAAGAGAACTAACTCCCACATACACAGCTGTGTGAGCAGACACAGACGGACACACACACACACCATACTCATAAATATATACATACTCATAAAAATAATAGGTAAAATTTAATTTAAAAAAAAGTAACTTAACTCATTTTCTATTTAAAAGAAGAAATTAGGACTATGACTCTGCCCCCTCCTGTTGTCTAGGATTAACGTCAGGTAAGAAGCATTACCTTGTGTTATTTTGTTTAGACGCCCTTTATAAAATGTCTACATAAATAATGAATGTAGCAAAAAATTCCAACAAAGACCCCTCTCTACACTAACCGTTAAATGGTAATGTAAGCAATCAAAAAGCAACTATATCCCTACATCAAATTTTTTTGTTTGTTTTTTTGAGGGGTGTTGTTGTTGTTTTTTAAGACACGGTTTCTCTGCAGCTTTGAAGCCTGTCCTGGAACTCACTCTGTAGACTAGGCTGGCCACAAACTCACAGAGATCCACCTGTCTCTGCCTCCCAAGTGCTGGGATTAAAGCACCACCATCCGGCTTCTACATCAAATTTTTAAGGTAACTGCAATTCCAAAATTACCTTAGTAGGAATAGTTTTATTAATTTTGCTTCTTTAGTGGAGTTATGGACCACTGTACTCAAAACTAGTGACATCGGTTCTAAACCATAAGAAACATCCCTTAACTTAAAAAGAAAATACCTTGGATGGGTGTCTGTAAGGTGCATGAAGATCCACACCACACAATCTGAAGATACATCTTGGACAGGTACCAGAACTAAACAACAGCTGGGCCACATGCTTGTTTTCCTCACTCAGTGGAAACATACTGAATAATTATAACTAGAAAAAAGAAAAACAAAATGAGCAGTTTCAGGATTTTACTGCTACATACAAATATGCCCTTAAGAAAAACTAGCTTTCAGGTGAAAAACTCTGCTTTACACTCTCCAACAATGCCTGTTGTATCTATATTCTAAGATGTGAACTTGACTACGTGAGTATTGAGTTATAAGGAAGAGGAACAAAGGAAGTCAAGCTCATTCTGGACATGACAGTGAGAACTTTCAGACACCAGGCCTGGGACCACTCAGGATTGCCTGTGTAAACCTTTCAAGAGAGTGCTTGAAATATAAGGACATACTCTATTTTAAAAAAAAAAGAAACTCTGTGTGGTCAAGGATTTACTTCAGTATCTGAATCCCTTCCACCAGCTCATTTAACCTGCTAGTTTAATGTCAAGTAAAGATTCTGTGAGGAGCTAAAAATAATTATGTAAAATGCACTTGTAATTTCAGGACACAAGAGGCCAAGGCAAGCGGATCACCATGAATTCAAGACCAACTTGGGCTTAATAGGAACCAACCTGGGCTTAATAGGGACTAACCTGGGCTTAATAGGGAGTCAATGCCAGTCTGGGCTATGGAGTGAGACTTTGGAAAAGAAGGGAGGAAGAAAGGGGGAGGGCGAAAGGAGGGGGAGGGACAATTCCCTAAACAGAGAAATGCTATGGAATAATCCTTCTGTGCACTGTGAGGATGTGTTGCTTTCATTGTTAATAAAAAGCTGATTGGCCAATGGCTACACAGGATTTTCGTTGCAGAGACAATGCTAGGGAGATAAAGAGTGGAGTCGGAGGAGGTGCCATGAGACCACAGAACAAGCAAGATGGGAAGTACTTACATGAGGTAAAGGAGACTTGGGGCAGCACACATATTAATAAAAATGGGTTAATTTAAGTAATAAGCACGAGCTAAAAACCAAGCCTAAGCTAACAGCCGATCATTTATAATTAATAATAAGTGTCTGTGTGGTTATTTGGGAGAGAGCTGGCCAGACAGAAAAACTTCCGTGTTAGTTAACATCAAACATTTGATTCAATACAGAATTAACCTTTAACTCAAAAGAGAAACAAATACACCTTTCTCTAAAAAAAAAAACAAAGCAATAAGCTCTGTTAAAGGACACTTCACAGTGAAGCCTTACCTCTGGACCTAGTTAACAATGTTCAAATTTAGGCTCTTTGTTTTGGCTTAAAGACTGAATGGCATTTCTCCATAGTTCACTAGAATAAAGGTGTCATGCAAAGCCAATAAATAACAATCACAATCTCCAGGCTCTGAAAAGTTCCCAAACCTGTTGAGAACTGCCAAACCTCCTGTCCTGAGTGATGTGATAAAGTCTCAAACAAGCAAAACCCTCGTGAGTGTGTTAATAATCAAAGTATGAGGGCTGGAAAAGGGCTCAGTACCATTCTCACCGGGCAATAACCCAGCGACTCCTCAAGCACGTTAACATTAAGAGGACAAACACCTTGAAGACGCTTATTTCATCCCGATGTGATAAAATGGTAGGATTTTGTAAAAAGAAATGAGTTGTAACCTTGGAAAACAAGCCCTGAGAAATACCTACAACGTGGATCTCCGCTATTAAGACTTTTGCTGTTTGTTTCTTTTACAGAAAGAACTCGAAAGTTGCAACAGAAGCCCCTCCCAGGTATCAGGTCTACAGGAATTGACTTCCTTTCTTCACTAGCCCAGCCTCATCAAATGGAGAGGAAAGACTAATTTTTGTTTTGACAATTACAAAATAATAATAGAAAAAGAGAAGAAAGAATAAAGCACAGGGAGGAAAAACAACAACCCTGAAATAGTCTGCGTTTCCCCCGTAAGATCTGTGTAACTGCATGACCACATGCACAGGCGCGGTTCCTCCCCGGGGCACGGGGAGGAGAGGCATGGGAAACGCTCTCAGCCCTTAACTCTCTTTGCTAAGGTCCTAGAAACTCCCCACTCACTCCACCTGGCTAACAAACAAAAAGGACTGCAGCCACACCTTCCTGGCACCCAATCCCTAACCCCTCACCTCGCACCTCCTCGGCCTTACCTTCTCCCCAGAGACTGGAGCCAAGATTTAAACCCTTCGGGCCGTGGGTGGACCGGGGAAGACTAAAGACAGAGCACCTGCTGCGCTAACAGTTCTGTTCCCCAAGGAAACGAGAGCTTTAGAACGAAAGTACCAGGCCTTCCTCGAGCCGACTGCGTGAACGCCCCCTCTCGTCCACAGGGCGATCGGTAAGGCTGGCGGGCTGGCGGTCTCGGACTCCCGCTAGCTCCGCGAGCGACCGCAGACAGCAAGGGGCTCCACTGCTCGCCCAGGGGTCCACCCGCCGAGACGCCTCCGTGGGACTCGGCGTCTAGGGGGTACTAGCTGCTGCCGGAAATGTCGATGAGCCCCTACTCAAGTGTGAAACCCAAACTAGGGGAAAACAAAAAAGGAACGTCCTGTCCTCTCCCCCGCTAGGGAAAACAAAAAAGGAACGTCCCGCCCCCGCCCCCGCCCGCGACCCCCATGGATTAGCTGTCCCCTTCCTCCCTCGCACCTCAGCGAAAGCGGACCACAATCCTTGGCCTGACGTCAGGCGTGGGCGGGGTGGAGGGCTCGGCGCTCTTCCCGTCGAGCCTGGCAAACCAGGCGAGCCTTCACATAGCCGGCGCAGTCGCGGCCCTGAGCCGTAGCGGAGCAGGCGGAGAGATGGCGTCCCAGCCGCCGCCGCCCCCGAAACCCTGGGAGACCCGCCGCATTCCCGGGGCCGGCTCCGGCCCGGGGCCAGGCCCCGGCCCCACTTTCCAGTGAGTGTGGGACCTTTGGGACGCGGGTTTGGCGGCCGAGCGGGGACCTGGCAGGAGGCGGTTGAAGCCGTTATGGGGGGAGGCATCGCCTGGCCGCCGCCGGCCCCGGGCGAGCGCCGAGCGGCTCTCGGAGGCTGACGTCTGCTGGCTGTGCAGCCGCCAGGTCTCCCCGGGGGCGCCCTGCGGGCTTCACGGGTGCCGGTGCTTGAAAGAAAAGCGGCGGCTTTTTATTTGCGGGACGTGGGGGGCGCGACAGCCTGACCAGCTTCAAAGCTTGGAGCTTGGCTCTGTGGCCCAGCGCGACGTCGGCCCTGCCTGGACGAGGATCGGGAGCAAAAGTCACTGGAAAAGCTATTTACAGCCTCTCCAGAACTTGGTTGAACGCCCCAAAGGTCACTTTTACGCAACCTAGAACCCAAGCTTATACCCTTGGCCTTCTTGTCCAGCGTAACTCGGTTAACGTTTCGGGTTGAGAGTTCAAAGAACAACTCTAAAACAAGAATTCTAAATCTGTGGGTGGCCTTTGTGTGCCAAATTGTGCGTGTGTGTGTGTGTGTGTGTGTGTCTGTGTGTCTGTCTAGAATTCTAAATCTGTGGGTGGCCTTTGTGTGCCAAATTGTGCGTGTGCGTGTGTGCGCGTGCGCCTGTCTGTCTGTCTACGACCTGTAAAGTTTTTATGTGCTGTGATTTGAATCAGTAACAAATGGGTCTGCAACTTTTAAAGGTTTACAACAGAATTAGAGTTTCACGAACCTGTGTTTTCTTTTGCATAGATAGACATCTTAATCCAGGCGACGTGATTCCAGGGTCCATTTGTATGTTGTTGTTTTTCTGACATGTCAAAATCTCAGTATATTGGAGCTCTTCTCTGCTGTTGGGAAATCTGGTGATCTTTTAAATTGCGTGTGGGAGCCCATTTTTAGGTTTCCTAGTGGCTTTACCCAGCAGGTCCGCATAGAAAGGATGGTTGGACCACTGGGCCTGAGTGCAGGTGTCTGAGATGGTCTGCACTTGGCTGTGCTGGGGGAGGAGGGGTGTCTTTTGCTCCACCCCTTGGCATTCCTTTAACTACTCTAGGTCAGAGACAGTCAGGCCCTCCCAAGGCTGTCCTGTATTTTCTGTTTCTCCCCCCTCTTTCCTTCTAACTAATATTTTCTGCTGCTCCTACTCAAGAGCACTCTGGGGAAATGTGGGGATGGTGGGTAGCGCCCCCCCCCCCACACACACAAGTGGGAAAACACTTGGACACAGTAACTAATACATTCAAATAAAGTGGCAAATTGTATGTATTATTAAACCAGAGCAACACTTGTATTGGTACTTTCATTAGAATGCGTCTAAGTGTGTTCTTTTGCCTTAGATAGCTGTCCTATCACCTAAGATAGGAGTTTGGGTTTTTTTGTTTGGTGTGTGTGTGTGTGTGTGTGTGTGTGTGTGTGTGTGTGTGTGTGTGTGTTTAAAGCAGTAAATTTTATGATTGCCTTTTCTGTATCTACTTACATTTGTTTTACTTTCAGTATGCAAATATGGGTTATTCCAATAATGTTGAACTTACCTTGCATTTTTAAGTGAATCTGCCTAGCTTTCTTTTTTTTAATGTACTGCCCTGAATTCTGTATTATTTTAAGGTCTTTATTTATATTCCTATGTGAAATTGAATTTAAAGATTATACTTTTTGTCTTTATAGCTGTTTTATAACTTGAGAAAATTTTGCATTGAAAAAAAATTATTGAAAACTTTCCATTCTATTCCTTTATAGGTAGATGGTTTTCTCTTTAAGGTTTTATATGCCTAGACCCTCTTTAACATAATTATATGCATATATCTGTATTTTCTCCATCCATGTCAGTAGCTACAGTATTCAGTAGCCAGAGTGTTTAAGAGTTCATTCATTCAATTCCTTCCTTCCATCTTTCTTCCCAGACAAGTGTCCTGCTTATGGAGCCCAGGCTGGCCTTGGATTCCAGTGGCTTCCTCCTAAGCTTCCCAAGTGTTGGGACTTACAGTCACCTTGTATTGCTTGGACACTATCCCATCTATTAAACCAGTGGTTCTCAATCTTCCTAATGCCCTGACCCTTTAATATGGTTCCTTATGTTGTGGTGACCTCCAAGTATAAAGTTATTTTCATTACTACTTCATAAATATAATTTTGCTGCTGTTAGAAATCATAAATTTTGGGGGGAAAGGGGCCATTGCCCACAGGTTGAGAATCTCTGCATTAAACATTGTATCAGAAAATATTTCTCATACAAGAAGCATTATCTTTCTTTTTAATTTTTCCTTTGAGACAGGGTTTCTCTGTGTAGTCCTGGCTGTCCTGGAACTTGCATTGTAGACCAGAGTGGCCTCGAACTCTTTGAGAGCCTCTGCCTCTCATGCTGGGATTAAGGGTGGGCGCCACCACCAGGCTTTTAATGCACCTTGAACTGTAAAAATACCTACTCTTTGGTTAGCAAGAAATCTGGAGATCACCTCTCTCAACATCAGGAGACCTCCTTTTTTCCTGGCTTTTTGTTTTCTGGTAGTTCTTTTTGATCATTTCAGTCATCCTTGTCTTTTGCTTGCCTAAGCATGTGTCCCCTGCTGTCTGCATTCACTAGTGTTCTGATTGTTTTCAGCAGTAAACGGTTTTAGGCCTCTGTATGGTTGTCTTTGTATTATTCTAGGTTGGAGTCCTAGGAATACTTATGTGTGACTTAATGAATTTCAGAAAGTTTCAGCCATTTTTTTCTTAGAATATTGCTTCTGCTTGCCTTCCCTCCCCCCCCCCCCTGATTTTTTGAGACAAGGTTTCTCTGTGTAACCACTGTGGCTACCCTGGAACTCACTCTGTAGACCAGGCTGGGCTTGAACTCACAGAAATCCACCTGCCTCTGCCTCCCGAGTGCTGGGATTAAAGGTGTGCACCACCACCGCACCTGGCTTTGTTGTCCCTTTATGTACTCCCTCTTTTTACTTTTATTTTTTATGTTTTTGTCTTTTTGAGACGGTCTTAATAAATTGCCTAGGCTGACTTCAAACTCAAGATCCTCTTGCCTCAGCCTCCCAAGTACTGAGGTTTGACAACCCCACTTGGCTAAGGTGCGTGTGTGTGTGTGTGTGTGTGTGTGTGTGTGTGTGTGTGTGTAGAAGCCATAGTCTTCCTCTATGACTCTCCACCTTAGTTTTTGAGACAGGGACTCTCACTGAACCTCGAGCTAGTCCATTAGGCTATACTGCTGGCCCAGAAGAGCCTGGAACCTCCTGTTCCCCATGGCTGGGATTACAGGAACCTAAGTGCTAAGGATCCAAACTGCGGGCTCATGCTTACACAGCAAGGACTTCCCCACTCAGCCATCTGCCCAGCCCTAGGCTTTTATTTCCTATGTATCCTGTATCCTGTTAGACCAGTCATTGAGTTCATAGATTGAAGGGCTTGGGGGTTGTTTATAATGTCCTTTAGGTCCAACTTTATGTCTTCTATGATTTGCTGAGAAATCCTCATCTTTTTTGTTTTTAATATACTAAGCATAGTTTAAAATCTCCATTTTCTGGATTTCCATATAGATATGGAACTCTTTGTATTGTCTTATGTTGCTTTTTTTAAAAAATATATAATTTTGTCATCATACTGGCCAATTCTTTTTTAAAAGGGAGCTGAACCTTACATGCAGGTATTTAAGATGATTTGAGACCTGGGAACTGGATCTTGCTCCAGAGACTTGTTTCTGACCAGTTGTCAGGGTTGCACTAGCAGTCTAGGGTTACTTTATCCAATCAAGGATCGAGCTGATTTGAAGAGTGGTGTTTAGACCAAGGCTGGTCTATTTCCTCTCAGTCTTTTTCCTTTAAGGCCCCAGGCTGAGCTGTGCTGGTTACCCCTCCTGCTTAGGACTCTGAACACCAGTTTGTATCCTTTAGTTCATGTTCTGTGCATTGTCTTACACAGCACTAACCAGTTTCCATCACCTCTCTTCCTGGATTAGCAGCCGGCCCTAGAGAAACCTGAAAATGTTAAACTCTGAATTTGTTTTCCTCTTTAGATCTTGATTTCAAAATTCTTAGTACCTTATTCTCTAATGCTTTAAGCAAAATATTTTTCGTTTGTGACCCTCTTCAACCGGCTTTTCTAGTTAGTTGCTTCTAATTAAGTCTGATTACACAGTCTACCCTTAGCTACAGTTCTCAGGTCTTCCACTCCCCTCCATTTACAGCAACTGGTTTTCTTCTTGTGTTTACTTACAAGGCATTCTGTAAAGCTTTGGCATCATGTCTAAGATTCCCAATACATTTCTTCACATTTACATGGTTTTTATTTCATCGGTTTGCTTTGGTTTTTTTGAGACAAGGTCTTACTGTGTATATGTAGCCTTGGCAGGCCTGGAACTCGCTGTGAAGACTGGCCTCAAACTCAGAGATGCACCAGTCTCTGCCTCCCGAGTGCTGATGTCAAAGGTGTGGCCGCCGTGCCCAGCACATCTGACTTTTTTAAAATAGATAGTACTGTTGTCTCACTGACCATTTTAAATATCTAGAGTCTCTGCTCTGGGCTGTTAGATTGTTTTTTCCTTTATTTTTATTACTGAT